ATTGTGCTGAGGCGGGGGTGGCGGACGATGATGGGTGTGATGTAATACATTTTCCTTCAATCTTAGCTATTGATATTCACACACCCATAGGATCCCGGTGTATATTCTAAATGCGCTGTATCTTGGCCCACTGACGCTATGGACCTATTGGAGGTGGGGACGTCCTCTGAAGCCATCCAAAACGGGAAAGGTTGGCGCCCATGCACACGACCACCAACACTACAGCAATGGAGGCGACCACTCGACGATGGATCATTCCAGCATGACTCATACAGCTGTGAATCATGACAGCACAAACGCCTCGCCTACGGAACCCGCGAAAGACGGCCATAACGATATGAACCACACGAAGATGGACCAAGAAAAAGCGAACCATTCCCACATGAACCACGAGGGGGGAATGCACGAAGGCATGGATCATGCTCATATGCATCATATGGATGTAGACCGACCCATGTTTGCTACGGTCACGGTGGCGGTATGCCACTGCGGATCTGGTTGCTTGTTGGGTGACCTAATAGGAGAGTGGATCGTATTTGGAACGGGTGCACGAATCAATGGAAAGGAGATATGGGTCGAGTTTCTTCTCGGTAAGTGGTTTTCATGGGTGATGAACGCCTCTTGAACTCTATCCAGATTATGCGTTTGCTTTGATCATTGGAATAATCTTTCAGTATTGGTCTATTGCACCCATGTCAAAGGAGTATGGTCTGAAGACTGTGATACGAGCCGCAAAGGCCGACTTTCTCTCCTTGACCTTCTTCGAAATTGGCTTATTCGGGTGGATGGCTATATTCCAGCTAGCTATATTCAAGAGCAGGTGAGAACTAGATCGTTTAATCCCCATGTAAGCGAGTCGTGTGCTGACTTGCGGTGGTAGGCTACCCATGGACGGCGTGGTTTACTGGTGGATGATGCAGATTGGCATGTTTCTCGGGCACTGGACAGCTTTTCCCATCAATTGGTGGCTTATCAAGGCCGGAATCAAAGAGCCTTGTGCTTGAGACATGGATTAGGGGAAGGAGCGGTAACCAGCTCTAAGGTCGTAGCATCTCTTTCCATTAGCCCGGGATGAGCTGAATGAGACAACGCCCCTCTTCATCATAGAGCACAAA